CAAGTCAGAATTCAATTGATTAAGGTATGGTCCGCGTTAATTCAGTTTCTTGATGATTTAACTTGAAGAGCTTAGCAAGATCAGAAAGTTCAAGTTTTAATAAAGTTCTAACAGTCTTTACATGCTTCCGTATGAATAATCTTATCGTATTACAGATCATGTATGATGTGACCGAAATGGAGAGCTTTAACAATGTTAAGCAAGGGCTGAATGAAATTGACTGATATGCAAATGATAGTGTACGCAAACTTTTAGTGGGGAACAAATGCGATCTAGTAGAAAACAAAGTTGTGGACACACAAACAGCAAAGGTAATAGTTTTAGTTGCTCCGATGTGATATATAAAAAATATAAAAAGCTAAACTGTATTCTTCAACACCAAATTTAGCTTAGTCTACAAATATAAAATTCTCTTATAATTGTCACTTTATCTGTTCATAGTCATTCCATATATGAAACTTCATATTATATATTTCATATATAGAATGTTATGTTAAGCCTCCATTTATATACAAATTTATAAATTCAGTTAAAGTCAAACATTAATTTGAACCACACATTTATTACTACTACTCTTTATTATTCACAAATTTCGTGGGACCCACTACTATTTTCCTTACTATTCCTATTTATAAATTTGCCAAAAAGAGGTGAAGTCTATTTATTTTTTATTGTTTAACTACCTTTACCCCCGTGGTCTTGTTGCCCACATATTTCACTCTGGACCTCATTGCAGGCATTTGCAGGTGAGCTTGGGATTCCTTTCCTTGAGACGAGTGCAAAAGATGCTATCAATGTAGAGCGGGCTTTCTTAACAATGGCTACGGAGATTAAGAAAAAGTAAACCAATTAATCAACTTATTGTTGCTCTTATGACATGTTTTGAACTTCCATCTGCTTACTATTTTTGTTCTTAATGTCAGAACTTCTTAGATTTTTTTTTTCTTTTATGGTATTTATAACATTATTTTATTATTTTATAAAATAACTTGACGACTAGTTTCACAAGGTTGTTTAGTTTCTGATACTACAAATGGAAGTAATATTTCTTGTAGGATTTGTTTCCTGTATTATTAATTTCAGTGAGCGTGCTGGCAAATTTTTGTGTTTGCATGTTATCATTTCTACTTTCACCTACTGTCTTGGAATAATTGAGAGGTGAATTTTGATAACCCATAATTCTGTTAAAGACATCGCAGCAATAGAAGTATTCTTGAAAGCTATTCTCATTGGAAGGAGTCTATAAAGAGCTTCATTGTCGGCCCCATTGAGCATCTCTGAGTCTTCCAACTTCGTAAAAGTACTGTGTGGAGATAGTTTTATCTAGACTCTATTAGCTTCAATCTCGTTGCTCTTTTTTTTTTGGTAAAATATCCTAGCTTGAAAATCCAAGCCGTAGGATATGAGTATATTAATGAAAATCAAATACAATGCAAAGAGGGGGACGTGTGAGCCTTATCTCCAAAAACAACCTCGTGTAACTACAAGGGCAATTG